AATTTAAAAAAAAAACATTTGAGACATTAATTTTCAATTGTTTAAATTATGGTGAAGTTCCATATCGATTTGAGAAATTTGATAAATGTGGAGGTTGATTGATATGTGCAAACTTTATGTTATAAAGTAAAATTGATTTTCTTGTTGTTTTCAGGAATAATATATTTAACTAGTCAAAATGAGCATTTTCTTGGAATGTGAGTTTGGAAACTCTGAAAATGTAAGGGGTAATACACTATCAATTTATTTTGATTTATGACTCGGTGCAATTCAGGACAGTTTCTAGTAGATGAAATTCATGCCATCTTTTCCATGTCTTCTTTTCTTGGTTGTCAAAAGTTACAAGAACAATTGGCCCAGCGAAAGAACTGGACCACGTAATAAGTGATTTTCCTTTTAAAACACACACACAATCACTGTACTCTGTTGAATTATTGCTCCAAACATTTAATATCAATCCAAGAACTAACAGCTCATTAGAAAAAACAGAGAATTCTTACAGCTTACCTGAAAACATGAGATTTACCGGCAGCCATTCACCAGCAAATCTGGGTAGAAAAAATGGGTTGATTGTTTTCAATTCAATCGAACACATCTTGACCTTGGTGTAAAATGAGTCAGGTGGGTTCCGTCAGCTCATTTACTCTGTGTGGACGAATAGTGCTCAACGAGCTAACTAAACAGTTTCGTCCATGCCATCTGTTCCCAGATAAGATGAAAGATTTTTGCATCCGCCAAGAGAGGTGGATGAATCACACGAATTATATTATACCCAAATCTTATTTTCATTTGAACTTGATTGTTTAATCTTTCTTCATAAAAATTTATTTTTTTCATGCTGTTTCACATGTCTCTTCTGGGTTGTAATCTTAACAAACATTGTTAAAAAGCATCACAAATCGATTTGGACCCCAATGCCCCGCTCGGAAAGGGGGGTGGAGGTAGGAAGTTTCCACCGGTGGAGATTGATTCTCAATCCCAAATTATTTGGCCAGAATTAAAGGGTATCAAGCATAATAAATATGAAATCGATTATGTGTATGCAGAGTTCAAGGTATTCACTTAGTCAAAATCCTTCTTCTTTTCCGACAATACTGGGCAGAAGTGAAACTGTTCGTCTTAACAAAATAAATTGTTGGGCTCCAGGTGTAAACCTTGGTTAACTTGTGTTTGAAGTGAAATACCCACCTCCACTTTTTCGATCATCTTTTGTTTACAGGTAAGTGATAAAGAATTTTATCTCATTTTACGAACCAAAACAGACAAAAGGACCAAAAGTTGAACTTCATTTGAGTCTCAATCAAAAAACGAAAAAAAAAACAAAAAAAAAACTATGTTAAAATATATTCACAGTCAATTAAAAAAATTATGGTTAATATTTGCTTGTTTACCATGAAAGCTGAACTTGTTATCTTACACCGATGGGTAACAATGGATTATGGAACCTAATGTGTGGTCATTTAGCCCCCACTGTAACCACACTTTGTAAGTCAGTAACACAAGAGAAAGAGCTGACTTGAAGGACTGAGGAGATGAGTCAGTTTGGTCACTCCATCTCCCGGAAGGGAGGGAGAGGCAGGCAGTAGCAGTAGCAGTAGCAGTAGGTGCGGTGGAAATGAAAAAATGAGAAAGGATGTGAAACGAGGGGTGTGTTTTAGGGTTAGGCTCATTTATATAGGGGCAGGTCATTTGGGCTAAAACAGGTCAGTGGGGTTTGTGTCGACCCAAGTAAATACACAGGTTAATTGGGTCAATTTTGGGTTAAACAGGTTGAACCTGATGATGCACAAATCGACTTTACGCAATTAATAGTTAAAAATGCGTAAGGGTGCAATTAATGAGCAGTTAACAAGTAATCAATGACAATCAAAAGCTAAAACGGTAAATAGGCAATCAACACAAAGATTTATGGTGGTTCGATCCGGGTGACCTACTTCACTCTCGGGAACGAAAGCGGTGGCCGCAGGTCTTTATTAATGAGCAAAAGTCACCGGGTGTATTCTCCGGAAATATTACAGTGCTTTTGAGAAGAGAGAGATGTGTGTGTCAAGGGGATGTATATAGGTTTCAGAAGCGTGCCTTCAATGTTGAGTGGACGTACATTATATAGTTAAAGTAAGACGATAACGTGAGTAAGAGATCTTTCCACCATTTTGGAAAGTGAGCAACCATGGTAAGTTTAGATCTCTATCCCAATATTATGTCTCTTGTGCTCCTATTTAATTGGAAGAAGACCCTGAGCTAAGTTGGACTTGATCCTGAGTCTGGGTTGGCATTGGAGTGGGCTTGAGTTGGAGTGGCCAAGAGAAGAGAGCGAAGAAGGAAACAGGAGGGCCAGCACTGGGCGGCGCTTGGCTTGGGGTGGCTTGGGCGACGCCCTAATGGGTGCTTCCTCTGGCTTGGATTCCATTTGATTCCTTCTTGATTTATTAGAAGGTTCAATCCTTTTTAGGTTCCGGTGGTTTGGACTCCTTTAAATGGGTGACCCAGATTCGGTCAAGCTATTCATTGGGTTTTTTCGATTTATTTATATTGGACTTGGCCCAGTCAAATTTGGACTTGTCAGAACCCGTACACGATTCATTAATAATTCATGTTAGTGGGTTGTGTTATATACAGATTTGTGTCAAAAAATAATCAATCCAAATCCATTAATTTGTGTCGTGTATATGTCTTATTGTCGTGTCGTGTCATGTTAGAATTTGTCAGCCAAGTCGAAAGAACTCGGATTAACACCCCTAATTGTTAGTATACTTTAAAATTAAATATTTAAGTAATAATTATACTTTACCCCACAAACATAATGACTATTCTTTTTCATGATTACTTTCTCTTGGGATTTTTCTTAGACGATGATATATATAGTAATGTAATATATATATATATATATATATATATATATATACTAGTTGATGCATATGTGTGTTGAATAAGTACAATTCTAAATTATAATTTCAGTTTTTATTCAAGTTTCTAGAATTATTTGTTTAACATATTCTTTAAATGTGACTTTTTTTAATTTTTAAATTTAACACACTTGACAAAAATCTGAAAAGATTAAGTGAATACAAGAAAATTAAATATATGATTCATATATAAACTGGTAACCTATTTGAAGCTCTTTGCATAATTTTTTTTTAAAAAAAAAAGTGTGCAATTGCATAAAAAAAGTGTACATATATTGAGAACAATTGTAAAGAGAAATTTAACAAATCGTGAAGGATGCGCATGTCATTATTGTTACGCGGACCACCAAACTATCAGACATTTTATATGAAGAGTGAATTAAAAAAAAAAAAGTGTGCTTAGATTATCACATAGTGCAATGAAGTGGAGGTGGAGGATTATGTAGTTTTAGGGAATTTCATGATGTGGAAACCAAATCTTGACTCAATTATTTATGGTTGTGTAGAGTTCCTAGATATGAAAATTTCTATTAATAGTTTGTAATTTTCAATTGTAAGATCTTCCACAATTTGTCTTTTTCCTTTAATATGTTCTAACTCTTTGCTCTTAGTCATGAAATATTTTTTAGCAAAATTTATTTTTTATCTTCATATTCAAATTATTCTCCATGGTCTTGGGGTTTATTATGACATACTTATGTTGATTTTAGCTATCTATTCGTCATCTAACATAGGAACAACTAAATCATCATTAAAGCATTAGTTGGAATGTTATGTATCTTATTATCAAACCAACGCAAGTGTATCACAACTTGAGGTTGACATAATTGGGTGAACTTCTTGGGGACGTGTATTCACATGTAGAAAAAACAGTCTAGTTTGTGTACATTTAGATAATACGTGGTTCATATATTTCTTCTTAATTAGTTCCCCCCCCCCCTAGGGGACTTTAGTCAACTGTCAAGTTTTTGCTCTTCACATCTTCTCGATCTGTTCATTACAATTCTTGCACTCATTGTAACATAGCTGTAAATGTGTTATTCCTTAATTTCCTTGGATTCTGAACGATGTAATAAGGATAATTGCTATTTCACTAGGATGCTTTGTTGCTTTGTAATTTCATAGTTTGCTAATTGCTATCATTATTGTGATTCTCTTGGTTTTTTATTTCCTTAGTTTCAAGGTCTAATCAGTTAAAAGCTAAGTTGTGATGTGAGGCAAAAGTATTGTAATTAAATGATCACATCATTAAGTCTCCAAATTAAGTTATCAAATTATGTCTCAATAACATTGCCCTTTTTTAAAATGACTAATTTCACTTCACACCCTATAAGATACTTTAATTCTCAATTTGTACCTTCAAATATTAAAAATTTGAATTTATACCTTTAATGTTATGAGTTGATAATAGTGCGAGACTCGTCTAGAGTGCCGTTTAGTTTTCTGTCATAAATTAAAATACGTGAGTTACAAGTGTTTCGGGCATGGACTTGTGTACAAATTCATAGACTGTTGACATATCATATGAGTTGCATGTGATAGTGTTAGCTTTTTCTGAATAATGAAATCTACTTTCGATACGAAAACACTATTAAATTGGTCACAAACAAATATATGCAATGATAAGACATACTTCTTCCTCATGCCTGAAGTACTTATACAGTACTTCACAAATTTCAATTTATGACGAAAAATTGAACAACAATCTGGGTCAATTTGTATTATTTATGCTTTTGGATGAAGTTTCTGAGTATATTTATCTAATTTTGGTCTTCTTTTTCAAAAATCCTTAAATGAAATCATTTATCTTATGATGCGTGTTAGAGATGGATATGAAAGTTTGAAAGGTGTGGTGTGCAATTACTCTATTTGCCAAATGTCATAACTATTTGCCAAAACTATTTGCTAGACACAGCAGTGCAGAAGGGTTCTTATTCCTCCAGGACAATACTATTCTTAATTACTGGAACTTGCAGCAAGCAGACAAGCTTAAGCTCTGGATCACAGACAAGATAAACGAACAGCAAAACTCTTGTCTCCTCTATCACCCATTTTTGTCTGTTGTTAGCAAAAGAAAATTTGAGGGGTTGAAGAATGTTAATCTTGGTAATGCATGGGGCCAATTAATGTTGAATGGTAAAAGGCTAATACAATAAATTAATGCTATTGTCTGAATGAATGACCAAGAATAATGAGCCAATATATTTACCATCAACAATCAACCAATAATCTTCTCTCTGTCTCTCTCTGAAAAACTCTATGCTTGTAGGTCTCCAAGTCTTGGGCTGCTGTCCCAATTGATGGCAACTCAGATTGGTTTAAAAAGCAAGCAGAATTGGTAGAGAAAGTTGTTAGTACAATGCCAGTTCACTTGCAAGTCAATTACAAAGAATCCATCAAAAATGACCAGAGCCTTACAATATGTAATTCTGAGGTATTCTACATTCCTCGGAAATTTGTAGCAGATTTCAGCAATCTTATAAATCTAGTGGGCGATCTCGATATCCATCACAAGGTTGCAATACCACTGTTCTTCTTGGCAATGGACTCGGCTCAGAATTTTGACTCGGTGTTCAATGCTATGATTTATGAGCAAAAAACCGCCAACTAATTCTTCAAAATTTATTCTGCCAAAGTGCCTGCAATTCACTCTTGGAATGTGGCCAGTGAGCAGGAGTTCATAAAGCTGATTAGAATAATGGCAGCGGGTGATCCACTGCTAATGGAGTTAGTGTGAAGGTAAAAACAGTTTTTCGACACAAAACAACTTGCAAGGGAGGAGAAAAACATGTACCACATGTGTCAACACCAAACTCTGCATTTGTTTTTTTTTTGTTTTATTTTGGTACTATTCTTTCAAAGGGGAAGGGGTCTTTTGTAGATTTCTGTTGTATGATTGTAAACTGTAGAGGATTTACTTTGTTGATGCCTTCTCTTCTCATAGGCAATTTTGAGCCTCTGAAGATCTTCATTCACTTTTTCCTTGGGCAAGGTGAAGAACCCTGATATGCGATGGGATTGGATTAAGTACAGCTAGAAACATACTTGATAATTGTTAATTTTTCAAACTTTTGCAAGTATCTTTGTGTTATATCATTGTCTTTGGGTTTTTTTTTTCTCATGAATTGATTGTAAAAGTTAAAAACAGTTGTTGCCGTTGATGTCAGTCTTCTACAATTTAGCCCACTTCCATGGTAGAGATGGCTTCATCCAAGATGATCTTAAGTTCTTTCACTCTTTGTCTTGTCAAAGTGACACAATCCTGCACCCAGCAAGCCTTCTCATTAGTAGCTGATATTTACCAAACAGTAGCATTTGCATACTTGACATCACATACACCATACTGGGAGTTGATGCCAAAAAAAAAGTTTGATGGATAAGAAAAAAAAACACAAAACAGTTTTTGTATATTTAACGGAATACTGGTTGTTAACTTAATCAAAAGACCCTCAGTTTCTGTGGGAGTTGATGCCAAAAAAAGTTTGATGGATAAGAAAAAAAACACAAACAGCTTTTGTATATTTAACGGAATGATGGCTGTTAACTTAATCAAAAGACCCTCACTTTCTGTTATCTGTCTATCTATTTTACAACTTAGCATTGCAGTATATCGGCCAAATGAAACAATATCACTGCCAAGGTTTTCGATTTCACCAAAGGAAAACTAAATGCATCTTTGTCGCACAAAACCAATTCAAGACCCTCTGTTTTTATTATCTGTCTATCTATTTCACAGCTTGAATGTGCAAAACCATATTTAGTACATTTTACATGTCTTCTTAGTTACATCATTTGAGAACCTCAACACCCATCATCATATGAACTTGGAGCAAACTAACCTGTATAGCTGATGTGTAGGCAAGAACTGGTCCACATGGCTTTTAAAGAGACACATGCTGACCAGATAAATTAATTGCCACAGTAATAAGAGTTTCCATGATGGACTCCTATTCTTAGTGAAGTATGCATGTTAAGGAGAACGGAATGCTGCTCAACTTGAGCTTCCTCTTCTCTTTGTTGACCGGCTCTTTTTCCAATTTTCCTCCCTCGTTTTCCTCAGATATAACTATTTTTTATCATGTCCATTTTCACGTATGTTATTTTACACTAGTCCTTGTAAAAATTGCAAATCTCACTTTCCAATACTTCTGAAATTTTTCTACCAACCAATTTGCATTCTCTATTGCGCTCAATTTCTGTTAGTTATTCATTTTTTCAGATCAGTAGCTTTAATATTCATAAACACCATGTTGACCAGAATGATTGTGAATTTTGGTGAAAATAACAACTATTAAGAAGTGTCAGTATGATATAACCAACCTAAGTGAGATATTCTAACCGACTTAAGTCATATATTCTAATCATTCTAAGTTAAATATTATAACCAACCTCGAAATGTAAACTAGTATAAATGTTTAATGAGTCATGAGTACCTCTATACCATGAGTTACATAATTCAACGATGATGGTTTGATTGGAAAAAATAAAGGAATGAAGGAAGAATTTACAAGTGGAGCAGATTGCTTGCAACGATGATGGTTTGATTGGTAAAAATCAAAGTAAAAAAGGTGCCCGAAATTAGTGAAGATTGATGGCTTGTGGACTGTCAACCAATCCCTTTGGTGGATCAAGCAAGAGGTCCAAATCAAAATCCAAAAGTATGTATTTGATTCTATGTTCAATGGATCTTCAATATCAGCAATTGAGTGCGACTTTCATAGAAGATAAAAAAATTTGACTATGATACGGAATTTTTCATTGTTGAATTTAAACGATATAATCTCTAAATAAAATATCAAACAGTCCTTACGAAATGTTTAACAACCCTACTTGCAATAAATTTAATAGGATTATATCTTAATTTTGTTTATGTCAGTTTGGATTCGAGATTGGATTATAATAACTAGGCTAATTTCATTTTTGTTTAAATAGTCTGGACTCTAGACTATGGAAGATTAGCTGCTATTCAATTGAACTAGTCAAATGATGCAAAAAAGTGAAAAAAAAAAATCAGTTATATGCATTAAGATCCAAAGCCTGGCTTCACAAAATGTTGTGCATTTTAGTCACTAGTTTATTCATGGGGAGAGAAGAGAAAAGGAGAAGTTGAGTATAATTTTAGTAAACAGTATGAAGTTTATGGAAGGAGTAATCTTAGTAGCATGTTGCTAGTCAACATGCCTAAAGGTTCTAAATACATGGTTTGAGATAATAAAAAGAAAAACAACATGTTTGATTCTTTCTTGGAGCTCCTAATTATTTTAAGTTGAGCTTATCCGATAGATAAATTTCTTATCACAAAATTCCTAAACACTCAAGCTTCAGCCTAGACTGGCTCAAAGAACAATTGAGATCATCTGAAATACATGTAGTGCGTAATAATCATCATAGTTTGGAGCTTGCAATTTTTCCAACCTATGTTGAGCATCATACGAATTGTCTTGACTTAGCTCATTTGCAGCCATTTATTCATTCTTCATGTTGAATTGATGGCGAGGGGTTCTTGTTTTTGTGTTTTCATGGCATATATATATGACTCAGTACTTTATCATTTTTCAGGTAGGGAGACATTACCTTCAGTGTAGATAAGTCCGTCGAAGTATTCATTCGGTGATGCTTATTTAAATAATCACGTTTTGATTGCTTTTGACCGGACTTGGAAGCATGCCAAAGAGATGTTACATGCAAGTGTACCACTTCTATCAAAGTTTGTTGTTCATGTTTGTTTAAATTATGACGTCAAGGTTGATGGTGGCACTGCATTTGATTCAAATTTGATTGTTAGAAAGGAACCATTTATTGGGTGTATGAATACAATGGATGCTGCAGCGCGGTGGTGTCTACGCATTCTCGAGTGGAACGAGAGATGTGATTGAGCTGAGGTTGGTTGAGGTTTTAAGAGCTATGGTGAGATTTCAAGCTTGTTTTTTGAAGCCCATGAAGCTAAGGCCAAGGTTGTTTAAGAGGGGTAGGGTAGATGAGAAGAAGAATGTGAAGAGCGAATTGCCTGGTTAGGTGAATTCATGTTCGATATGATATCATTTGGTGCATTTGTATTGGATTTTGGCAGCAACATTTTGCTGGTCAATAGCAATATATATCTGCTCTGATTTTGTGTTGAGGTGATTGTTCTTATGAGATGATTTGAGGAAACTACATAGTTTTTTTTTTCTAACTAAAGAGCAACACTACCGGAAATTTAAGGGAAAAACGGCGTAACTCGAAGTTTGGATGTTGGAGCTGGGCATTGAATCCTGAAAGACAAAGATAAAGCAAGAACACATATGTACATATCCCAAAACCCAATTAGAAACCAATTCTGGTGCCAGACAATCACAACCAGCAGAGGCCAATCCGATGGAATCCGAAATTCAAAATTCACTAACCAATTCTGGTACCCTAAGTCTGTGAAACTTCTTACAAATTACAAATAATTGCTCTCAATAGAATGTTTTTTGTCTTGCAACCTAAAATACAAATTAACCTCCAATCTATTGCAGCGATGAGTGGTGTTTTTACTGTCAAAACTTGTCATAATACAAACAAAGGGTCACACACATTATCATATTATTTAACTATCTACTGGTTTTCAACACACAGACACACACAGATAGAGAGAGAGAGAGAGAGAGAGAGAGCGCTTTAAAGTAATGCCTTTTTCTTAATCTTCATCATCAGGTTCTTCATTTGCTTCTACTGTTGCTGCTTCTTCTTTTCCTTCACATCATCTTCTGCCTCTTCCTTCTCTTCTTCTTCATCATCATCTTCATCTTCTTGTGAAATCACTGTGTTGCTTCCCTGATAAGGACTATTGTGTTACACAGAAATGAAAAGGGATGTTTTGATTTTAGGAAAAGATTTACAGTGAAAATAGTTCACACTATAAAATAACCCGGACAGTAGTATGCATAATTATTACCTCCATTTCTTGAAGGCAAAATTACAAAAACAGAATGAAAGTTGTATTGATTAGAAATTATAAAGAATAAAGTTGTACCTTTCTCATATGTGTTGTACTGTCTTGTTAAGATCACCCATCCAAACACACTCGATATCCCTGGTGCTAAGATCACGCATACAAAGCCATTGATCTTTGCTGGTGTTCACTCTTTCAAGCTTCGGTGTGCATAGCGGTCCGGAACAAAAAAATTTCAATTTCGGGCAGTTGCTTATGTGCACTTGATCTAATGAGGGAAATTGAAGTCCACACTTTCCAGAGTAGAAAACGGTTACGTTTTCTAGATTAAAAAGGACTAGTCTGCTTAATCGTGGGAACACAATCACTTCTTCTCCTTCTTGGTTTGTGACTATGTCATCCATAATTCTGATTTCAGGGTAACCTTGCCCTGTTTCAATAATTTCTTCCATCATCTCGCAATTTACAAGGCGTAAATCTCGCAGATTCACAAGTAAGTTTACCATAACAGGTGACAACAGATATCTCAAGCTCCCACAATAGGAAATTTGAAGTGTTTTCAAATTGTGGAAACCTTGAAGTCCTTTGGGAACCATCTTCCATATACGCATTAAGTTAGATGAATAATGGATCTTCAATGACTCTAACTGACCGAGTATAACTTCTGCCTGTTCACCCTTAGCTTTTAGCCCCTCCAAGTCAAACACGACTTCAAGTGCATCACCACCCTCTATTCGAATGCTTTGGACGCTTCGAAACAGTTCTAGTTGA